TGGAAGAGGGGAGGGAGAAACCTGGGAGGAGGGAGCTGGAAGGGGGAAGCCAGGGGAAGAAGGGCCAGGGGAAGCTCAGGGCCCAGGGTTGAGGGTCTCGCTGGACCAACTTGATTTTCATGTAAACCTCCTACTGGGTTCGCATGTGGCTTTTGGTGGCCAGGCTAGCAGTTATCCTACCATAGACGGCCACATTTCTCTATCTAGTGTGGAGTTACGGTAGTTCAAATTAGGATCTTTAATTCGAACTACCTACTCCATGCTGCGTGTAGCTGCGGGCACAGAGTTCGGACTAAGGGGGATTTTAAAATGGCAGTGCCCGGGAACATGCAAATGAAGCCCGGGATATTTAAATCCCGGGTTTCATTTGCAACTCTGCTTTCCCTCATTACCTTACCTAGCTCAAACTAACAAGCTAGTGTAGATGTACCCTAAGAGACTGACAGGACATTGAATAGAGGATATTAAGGCCCTGCTGAAGTAAAATGGCAATTGCAGGTATAGCAGAATTTCAGAGATACAAACACCAGAGTTACAGAGTGACTGGTCAACCACATACCTCATTCCACACTGGAAATATGCAACCAGGCAGCAGCAACGAAAAAGAAAACCCAAAACCAAATGCAATACAGTGTTAAACATATACTACTTTGCCTCTATTTTTTTTTGTGGTGTATTTCTTCTGCACAATAATGTTTCAAAGCTGTACTAAGTCATTGTTCAGTTGTAAACTTTTGAAAGAACAACCATAGCATTTTGTTCAGAGTTAGAGATTACAGTTACTCATACAGAACAATCTGGATCATGGGGCACCAGCAGACATAATTTACTGAATTACTGTAGTTATTTTGTTTTAACAAGGAGATGTTTCAGTACTGTTATATGTAAATGTGCACATTTAGGAACAAAGAACATAGGCTGCAATGATAGGATGGGGGATTCTTTCTGGGAAGCAGTGTCTCTCGGATTTTGAGGATGGTGGTAGATAATTTCCAAAAAATGGGCTTCCAGTGCAATGCTGTGGCCAGTAGGACCAGTGCTATCTTTACATGCATGAAGAGAGGAATCTCAAGTAGGAGCAGAGTGGTTATTTTACCTCTGTATTTGGCACTTCTATATTCGGCTCTCATACAGTGTCCAGCTCTGTCACAATTCAAGAAAGATGTTGATACATGGGAGAGGGCTCTAAAAAGATCCATGAGAACTATTGAAGGTTTAGAAAACAAGCTTTATAGGGAGGAACTCAAGGAGCTCAATCTTTTTAGCTTAACAAAGAGATAGTAAAGGCATGACATCAATACAATCAGCAAGTGTCTGCAAGGAAAACAAATATATAATCAGTCTAGCAGAGAGAGGTATAACACAATCCAGTGGCTGGAAGCTGAAGCTAGACAAATTCAGACTAGAAATGAGTTGTAAAAATGTTAACAGTGAAGTTAATGAACTATTGGAACAGTTAACCAGGAGTCATGATGGATTCTCCTTCACTAGCAATGTTTAAATCAAGATTGAATGTTAGCCCATATTTCATACCTAATTACTTGGCCATTAACTGCAATTTCTCTTCCTTTTACTACAAGTAGGGAAATAATCTTTTGTGTTTCTTTTATTCTCACTAACCTGTATTTGTTGTAGGCCATTCACAGAATACGTAGCATGACTGAAGCTTAAATGCAGTTCATCAGACAATCACACTTCTTGCACTCAAGAAACATTAACCATTGGAAAAAATCAAACTCCTTTTAAAAACATGCCCCCAACAATCTTTGATTAATAATGCAACTCATTGTTAACTAGATTATATATAAACTAGATGTATCCCAGAAATTAAAATGTATCTGCTGAAAGTTACATATATATGCCACTATCCATCGCTGCTACTATGCCTTGTATTATACTGCTTTTTAAAATATTGTTTACAGTACAACATTATTTTCTAGGAGATGACCCATTCCTGGCCTCCACCACTCTCAGCTATTCACACACCTGGAAAAGTGGAACAGGGAAAGTTTCCATTTCTGAACAAGGTAAGAAATTCTATATAGTCTAGAAACCCATCTCCCCCTTCACCTGAATATGCAGCCTCAACTCTGATCCCCCCAAAAACCTTATTCTGCCACTAGCTAGACTGCTATGTATATATTTGCAGAAGACAGAGAGAGAGTATATGGGGTAGTGCTGTAAAAGTTATTGCATGAGTCTGGGGCAAGTGTGAGGCATGTGCTGGAGCTGTGGGGAAGTGATCCAGGGAATTAGAGCAGCAATGCAGTTATGTAAGAGGATATTGCAGACAGCTGTTAAATCAGGGGTGGGCAATCATTTTTGATGGGGAGCCACTCCAAGAATTTGGTAAGTGATGGAGGGCTGCACTCTTCCATAATATTAATGGAGGAAGTGAGGGGCCTGGGATAGAGGTTGGGTGCGGAAGAGAGGTAAGGGTAAGGAATTGGAGTGCAGGAGGGTGTGTGGGGTCTGGGAGGCAGTTTGGATGGAAGTAGTTGTGACCTGGGACACTGGACTAGGGTGCAGGGGTTTGAGTTGTGCCTGGGACAGGAAAAGGTTGTAACCTGGGGTGCAGGGGTTTGGGTTGGGAGCTAGGGCAGGGGACTGGGTTGCAGGAGCTTGAGATGTGACCTAGAATGGGGGGGGGGGTTGTTACCTTGTCCAGGGGATTGGGATACAGGAGGGGGTGCAGGGATTTGGGTTGGGACCTAAGGCAGGAGGGGATTGTGATTTGGAGCAGGAGATTGGGGTGTCATCTGGGAGGAAATATGGGTGTAGGAGAGGGCCAGAGGATTTGGGTTATGTGAGGTAGAGGGGCAGGAGTGAGGGACAGAGGGTTGGGAGAAGGGGGAGGCTGAGGTGCCAGAGGTAGGCTCTGGCTCGGAGACTTACCTGGGTGATTCCCAGCCAGCAGCCCAGCACATTTCTGAGGTAGCCTGCCTGCCTGCCCCGCTGCAGGGTCCATGTATGTGGAGGGGAGGGGAGCATAGTGCTTCGTGTGCTGCCTGTTAGTCAAACAGAAACTGACCAATGGGATTGTGCTGGGGACGAATCAGAGCATGAAGCCTTCTCCCCCTTCCCCTCCGGGCTTACAGTTGTGAAAGGGAAACTGCCTGGCAGCTGCTTTTCTGAGCGGCGTGCAGGTGGGGTGAGGCAAGCAGGGAGCCTGCCTGGGGCTCCCCGCCACATCCGCAGGCTGGATCTGGTGGGTTGGCAGGCCGGATCCAGCCTGCGGGACATATTTTGCCCAGCCCTGTGCTATATACAGGGGCCCTAGATTGGGACATAGAGTAAGGAGTGGGCTGGGTCCCCCTTAAGCCTCATTAGCCACTGGAGGGGAAGAGGGCTGGACTCTGAGCCAACCCAGAAGGGGAACAGAACTATAGTAGCCTAAAGCTGGAGAGTTGTGGCCAGAAAGGCCTTAAGAGGGTGAAGACATTGCCTCCAAGAAAGGAGGCCTCACCCCACCTGCATGCTGCTCTGTTACGGATAGGGGACACGCTGAAAGACAGTAGAGGGTCCTGAGAGAAGCCCCTGTTCGACTTTTATCCTATAAGGGGTTTGATTTGTTTTACAAACTGTGAGAGACTTGGCCAGAGGGCTGAGTCACTGAAGAGCCACTACAAACAGAGAGTGCAGGCACACGCACTTGGCCAGGGACCACTCACGAGAGGTGAGTGCGACCCCATTACTATGTAGAAAAAATATTTAAAATCATATTAAGGCATTTCTCTGACTCCCTCTGAGTCTCCATAATTATGTGTTTTGTAGACTCAGAAATACAGAGATTTAAATAATTTTATAAAGTTCCTAAAACATGCATAAACTATTTTATTTTCTCTAACAGAATGTGACATATGCATAGATCAGACAATGGTCTTGTGTAGCTTCCCCATTCGTGAGCACTGTGATTATCCTAAATTCTTAAAACCTCTGTAAGCATACCAGAAATCTGTGGATTACATACACACATGTGCCTGGCAATCTAACAGCAACACAAGGATAAGTGAGGGATATAAAGATCTAAATGCAAGGATCTAAATGCAGGATATAAGATTTGTTACTTACTTTCCGCAGATATGCAGAGATTAGGATGCTGAAGGCATCTTGTTCGTTTTCTGTGGAATGGTGTGAGATCAGTACAGGTCATTTTTAGTGACTTCTTCAGTCAACTCAAGGGACAGTATTGATGGACTCCAGAAGAAGTACCAGCATACCATCCCTCTTCAGCACAGGGAATATCCCAGTGTCTGAGAGTATTTTTGAGTTAGGGAAGGGGAAACAGAGAGAAATTGCCTCATGGTTATGATCTTGGAGAACTCCTTCCTCCTTCAAAGTATACAAAGTAATTTTGCTCATGCTCAGTCTTTTTATAGTAATAAAATATCAGCATTTTTAATTCTAATACACACTGAACTATTCTTAATCTGTATCTCAACTGATTAGTGATAGGACAGCATGAGACTTGCAATTTATTAATTAGACTATTAAAGTTTCAGGGGTTATAAAAATTGCAGCCAGGCTGGATTTGGAATCGTTCTAGAAATTAAAGCTAAATTATATCTATCTGTATCGATATAATGATATATTAAGAGAGAGAGCAAGAAAGAGAGAGAATACACAGCACAAAAATTAAACCTATATTAATGTTAAAGGTCCAAGTTAAATCTTCAAGGAAAGGAAATTCAGTGTCAAATTTGAAATGTGCAGACTGTGTTGGATATCCTCCATCCCCTCACGACAATGAGAGTTCATTAAAATATCAGATCAGAAACATCTCTTTATCTAGAAGAAGGTTTAAAGATCCATTTTATTCTTAATTTTGAATTTCCTTTCTTTGTGGGATTAATCTGTACTCTATAGTTCCTTTATTTTTCATTTTTCAAACCTTAAAGATAATTGAATCCGTGCATAATAGGACAACCCATATATTCCTCTACTATCTTTACGAGACTTTGTTAGGTACAAATGATCATGCATTATCGTATTGCAGTTTTATTACAAACATCTTTAAAAATAAAATGTAAATGAATAATTAAATCTGCTAAATAAGAGCATACTGGAATAAGGCATAAGAAAACTAAGCTACATCTTAGAGCCCCGCAGTATCAGAAGCCTCTAAAAAAGAAAGTACTGATTCCCTTTCAAATGTTATTAAAATTGGTTGATAAATAAAGGAGAGATGGGGAAAAAAAGATTCTTACTAAATATAGGCATTTTTGTTCAAATATGACAGAAATAAATACATGTAGCACAAATACCCTTACCCTGCCCTAATCCTTCATTAATTGTTCATTATTGATATGTGGGAGGCCAGGGCTGAGTTAAAAAATGGTAACTGCATTGTAAAATTAGTATTTCTAAGAGTAAGTCTGCTATAATCTCCTAAGGCAGCATATTGCTGGCCATGGACAACTGGTAAAATTCTGACTATGCCTTCATAACTTATTTAAACAAACAGATAGACAAACAAACAAACTCACTGCTGGGGAAAACATGAAGTGTCATACAGCATTCACACCAAGCTCAGACTCATATGGGAGTCAGCCTAGGAATGAGCTCATGCATAGCATGTCCCTTGGCTGGTATATGTTGGACCTCCCTGATCTGGCACCCTGGAACCTGAGTGGTCCCGAATGAGGGATTTTGCCAGACTAGGGGAGATCATTTCTGGTCCCCTTGCCACCAGCCCCCAGTCTGGCTCTGCTCCTAGGCTGGCCTCTTACGCAGCTTCCTCTCCACCACCAGCCCTGTTTACCCCAACAGCCCTGCCATGGAAGCTCATGGTCCCACCACTGGGGCTCCCATCCCCGCTGTGTTACACCACTGCTCTGTGGCTCGCACTCCCATCCCACCCATAGCTGACCACCCCCGTCACTGGGGTTCCCAGCCCCATGAGCCCTGTCACGGCAGCACTGGCCCTGCCAGCCCTCAGTCTCACTACTGGAGGTCCTGGCCCCACCACAACAGAACAATTCTCCGTTGCCAGGGCTCTCAGTTCTAGCAGCCCTGCAGCAGCTGCACCGCTGCCACTGCCATGTCTCCTGGCCCTGCCACAGCAGACGACTGCTCTGCTGGAGCCCACTAGCATTACTGTTGCCGGCTCAGCTGGACTCCCGCAGAAGGAATCCCAGCCTCTGACCCCCCTGAAGCCAGCCTGGCTGGGCTCCTACTTCTGGCCCTCCACCGGGACTTTCTGGTCCAGCACAAAACTTTGTGTGGATACATTTTTTATTTCCTTAACAAAATTAAACAATTTTTTCATTTATTCATATAAAAAGGGTAATTTTCCTTATTTGTGGGGTCATCTCTCTCTCTTTCTCTCTCTCTTTAAGTCATAATCCAAGATAAGATTTGGTTGGCATTCCCTATTGTAGAAACAATTTTGTGTCTTTTTTTAGTCTAACTTTTTTTAGTTAGATTATTATTCTATTTTTACAGTTTAGTCTTTGTATATATGCAAATATAAAGCTCTTGTATTTATATATTTAGTGTCTTTTTTGTCACAATAATAAATTCATTTTTTATGGAGTGGGGCTTCTTACATTTGACTTAGCTTAGGTCCACAATATCATAATCTTGCCCTGCTTGTGAGAAAGAGCTTTCATGTTCATGTTTACTCTGTTGTGTGAAAAGAGGATGCAGTAAATTCTGGGGATTGCGTGGTTCTTTTGCTTCGTTTTTGAAAGAAAGAAAGAAAGAAAGAAAGAAAGAAAGAAAGAAAGAAAGAAAGAAAGAAAGAAAGAAAGAAAGAAAGAAAGAAAATTAAGTACTCCATGTCTATGTAGCTATGTACAATTGTATGAGGTCACTATAATGTTGGTGTTTGGGGACTATTTTCTCCACTCTCAGAGAACCTGTCTCTCTTCACAAGTGTGTTACATACACATTCTTAACAGAAGCTTAAATACTGAGGTCAAGTGATCCCTCCCCGGTCACCAATTTTCAGCCTCTGACAGACAGAGGCGAGGGGCACAGTTCCTACCCATCCTAGCTAATAAGTATTGATCAGGGGCGGGCAATAATTTTGATGGGGGGCCACTCCAAGAATTTGTAAAGTGGTTTGTGGCTGCACTCTTCCGTGAAATTAATGGAGGAAGTGTGGGGGTCTGAGATGGAGGTTGGATGCAGAAGGAAGCTTGGGGTAAGGAAGGGAGTTTGGGTGAAGGAGGCAGTTGTGACCTGGGGCACTGGACTGGGGTTGGATTATGACCTAGGGTGGAGAATTGGGGGTACAGGAGGGGGTGCAGGGATTTGGGTTGTGACCTAGGGCAGGAAGGGACAGGGAATTGGGGTGCCAGATCTGGGAGGGGGTATGGGTGCAGGAGGGGGGGCAGAAGATTTGGGTACATAGAATGGGGGGCAGAGGGTTGGGAAAGAGAAGGGATGGGGTGCCAGAGGCAGGGTCTGGTCAAGAGACTTACCAGCTAACAGCCCTTTCCTGAATCAGCCTCCCTGCCAGCCAGTGTTCCCTTGCAGGGAGCCCTGAGCCTCTGACTGGGCGGGTCTGATTAATCACCTGTGAAGCTGTCCTGCTGTGAATCTTAGAGGGAACACTGCTGCCTACCCTCCCCCTCCCCATCCCTCCTCTCTCCCCCAGGCTGCAGCTATGTGCTCTGGAACCCCTTGTGCTTCATGGCTGTCTGTTATTGAAAGCAGCCAGGAACTGGCCAATGGGATTGTACTGGGGGTGAGCACAGCTCATAAAGCTTTCCCCCCTACCCTCCAGACTCACAGTTTTTAAAGAGAAACCACCCTGCAGCCTCATTTCTTGGCAGTGTGTGGGTGGGGCGAGGCAAACGGGGAGCCTGCCTGGGGCTCCTCTCAGTGTCTGCAGGCTGGATCCGGTGGCTTGGCCCAAGCCTGGTATTGATGGACTTAGTCTCTGTGAATTTATCTAGTTCTTTTTTGAACCTGTTAAAGTCTTGGTTTTCACAACATCCTCTGGCAAGGAGTTCCACAGGTTGACTGTGTGCTGTGTGAAGAAATACTTCCTATTGTTTGTTTTATGCCTGCTATCTATTAGATGTGAATGGCTCACCTTTACCACATATAATTGCTTTTTAAGAATTGAAAAAAAATGGTGCCTGGAAAGTTAGATAGTTTGATTGCATGCTAGAGTAGCATTTGAATTCAAAGATATCTCTCATCACATCACTGCCGCAAACTGCTCCTGCTTATTTTGTGATTATACTCCAAAAGACATAAGGGGGCAAGCTTTTATATAAGGATGTGAGGAGTTGTCAACTACCCAGTAAGCCTAGGCATATGAGGTAGTCGGGTCGACTACTTGCTTCCTCCTCCCCCTTGCTGCCTCTGTGGCCCCAGGTCCCGGGCACGCAGCGCCCCTTACAGCTGCCATCAGGCACCCCCCCATAGGTTGGTGCCCTGGGCAGCTGCCTGGTTAGCCCCCCCTTAATCCGGCCCTGGCTGGGACCCCCCATGGACAGGGCTGCTGGACCTGGTGCAAGCTCAGCTTAGTCCCATCTCACGCTGGGTCTGGGTCCTACTCCCACTGTGCCTCTGCACTTTAAATGTTGTAGAAGCTGGGTCGCCTGCACAACTGGCTGTTAACTACATTTAAACTGCAGAGCCACCGCAGACTTCCCTTATGACTAATCATGTAGTTCAATTAGTGGATGACCTGCCTCTTAACATCCTTACTTTTATACCTCTTCATCAGAAGTAATAGTAATTGGGGCAGATCCCCCAAAGTAGACAGTTTAAAATATAAAACGTGTTGCCATATTGTGAAGTGTAGCACAGATGATAGCTTATAAATCTTATCTATAAATCTCTTAGGATAGCATTGAAATTTAAGAATCTGCTCAGCCTGGTCCAGGTGAGAGGAAGGATTTAACTGCACCAAGACATGGGCATAAATAAATAGTCCCCTTCTTATTTGGTTATCTGGGGGAATGGGTCAGTGTCCTGAAACTGACATGGTACAGAGCTGCCTTCCTGTGGCAAGTTAGTTTCTGGCTCTCTAGCCTCCCTTAAAGGGGCAATACTGCTTTTTTGAAAAGTCAGAGAAAAATCCACACCACGTAATGTGCAGTGAGATCATATCTGGTATGTAGTTTGGCTGTGAATAACAGATTCATATTATAGGTGTGTAAATTGCAAACCGAAACCCTGCAGTCTGGCAACTTACATTTCTAGAGTTGATTTAGGGCTGACCCTTCAAGATTCTGATTGCTCCCATTTTAGTGACCCTGGTTTACTTGCAAGTTGAAGTTGCTGAGATGTGCTATGAGCTTAAGTGTTTACGTTTTCAACCGTGCTCCTATTCAACTCAATGGAAAAGCTCCTTTTGATTTTAATGAAGCAAGATCACTTCCTTAGTGGATTTAAGTGTGAATTTCTGCATTTTCATTCTGTTTATTTCAGTAAACTTAACTTTAAATGCCCAAGCTTCTTTGTGTTTTTAATTTTTAAGAAAAACTATACTCTTCTTGATTGCTTTTTTCCTTCAATAATTAATAAAGATTTACTGACAGAACCACAGCATAACGACATTTTTAGCCTGGAAATAAAAATAATAATTGCATGTTATATTGAGCCCATCTGTTAGCTCAGAACTCCCATCAGGACTAAAGTTTTAGCTGCAAATCTAACTTCTTCTTTGAAAGTAACATATGTATTAGTATGTTTGCCTGTTATCTCAATGTTGCTGTCTTTATTGTCATAATTGAGGAACACACCAAAATGGTATAGTGTTATAAAGTTTATTTCATACATAATTGGAGTTCTGCATGGAATGTTTGCCCTCCTTAGCTCATAATCCATTTCTCTTGTGTCTCCTCCACCCAATGATGGCTACCCTGCATGACAGTCAGAGACACCTGTCTTTATTATTTTTTGAAAAGAAGGGTGGAAATACTTCAAATGATTTGGAACCATTAAGTTGACTTAATGTTTGTTAAAACTTGGTGATGCAGTTCAAAGTGCTCAAAATGTTTTTGGAGAAATTGCTAAACTGAAAATTATATGATATAAGTGCTGTGCCATACTTATGGTAACTAAGATTCCATCTTTAGCTATTGTAGAAGGCACCCAAAGAACAAGAATCCATAAATAATACACAGTAATACAGCACCAATATGATGTTAGTACATATCATACTTTACAACCTTTTTCATATATTAAGCCTGAAAATAGTGCATAATTGCAATGAATTATTTAAAACAACCAATCTAAACTAACCTACTTGGAAGATTTAATGCACGGCAGACTATCGGTGTTTTTCTAAAAGGTTCTAAATGTTTCACTAGAAATGTTTTAGGTGCTTTTGTGAAGTTCAGTTACAAAACCACTTCTGATAAATATGTATCTGCTGGTCCACTGAATACTATCTTGAGTGACAGAGATAATGTACCAAGGCTATGTTTGAAAACTAGGTGTTGATTTAGTTTGGTTTTTATTTTAGCCTAATATTTCAGTATGTCTAGTAGCTAAAAGAACTAGACTCAGGAGAAGGGTCTAAACTTCCATTCTCCAGTGCTGTGGGTATCAATTTCCTGATCCATTATGGACGTGGCTCTTGGGATCCTCGAGGTGAGGAGAAAAGATTAGCTGTGCTGCTCCCAGAACAATCTGATGGCCTATGAAATGATATTGGCAAGAACTTCAGAAATAATCATTTGTCTGCCTGTCTGTCTTCTTACCTAGCCTGGTAGAAAGTAATAGCCCCTTGTGTGCTAGTTCAGTAATAAGTGAATAATAAGCTGGAGATTGATAGTGAAGATAGAAAAAAATATACTATTAAAGGGTCATGGTTGAGAGATAAGTATAAAAAGCCTAGAGTAAATGCATTTTCGAGGGAATATTTGATTTTCTTCTTATAGTTGGAAATGATGCTCTGTGATTAGGATGAATGAATGATTAACAACACTGTTTAGCAGTATTACATTAACTTACATTCAAACTACTCTTTCCTTTAAAAATTACCAAAAAAATAATACATGATATGCTTTTCTTTATTATTTTAGGAGTCGCAGCAGGTATCTACAGGACACAGCACTCCAAGTAAGAATTGCCTGAATTTACACCTGGATTTGGTGAAGATGCTGATTGTGAATGTGAGAAATAAGGGAACCAAGGGCTAGATAAGAAAAAATAGAAACATGAATCATATTGGTCCAGGATCTCAGTTGGCAGACTACTGTTTTGTCCAAATGTGGAATCTTGGGAGTCTCAATCACTATCGACCTATATTGTGGAAGGGGAGGGAACAATCCCTTTAGGTTGACAATGGAAGGAACAATTTGCTGCTTCATTTTAAGTTCCACTGAATATGTGAGAGAATTTAAAGGGAAAAACAGTTGCTTCTCTAAAATGATAAGAAGTGGGTTTAAACTCTATTTATACACATACATGTGTGCACAACACTAATCTCCAAACTGTCTAAAATTCTTGAGAGTTTGGTTTGTTATTTTTTTTATGTATTTATATCCCACGGCACTGTCAATATATATGGTGCTATATAATACATGAAGTATGCCAAAGAAATAACAGATGCTGCTTCAATGAGCATTTAGTTTTGGGCTTTCTTTTGTGTATACATTTTGGCAAGGATGGGGTGTAGAGAGTTTACTTTGCTCCCATCCTTGCCTGTCCTCAGACTAAGTGCACAGACCATGTTACAAAACAGTAGTACTTTAATTACATTTAATTACTGGTAAAACACTTAGCAGCTGTGTTTCAAAACAAGGACTGAGTTGTTCTATGAAACAAAGTATTAATCCTCTCTTCTCTGACCCCTGTGACTGGTATTAATGTTCTCTAGTACAGATTAAAAATACATGGCCCTATCCTGTTCGTGACATGAAAGCATCCCAACCAAAGACTCTATTTTGTTAGCTTCATGACCTGTCAGCTAGCACGGGGCACTATTTGCAAATTACAAAGCTGTGTTTGAAGATGACAAATGCTCTGAGCAGTAGACATGGCTTTGAAACTGACTGGTCACCCACTGGGTGCAGGAAGCAGACACCCAGAGGAAAATGGTAGGGGACTTCAGGCCATTAATACGGTATGGCACTTTGCTAAGGGAGGTTCAGGACAGTGGAAGATGATGTGGAGAACAAGCAGGAGGTGGTGCCACTTAATTGCCAGCATCAGTTTGCTATTGCTGTGAGCACCAGTACTAAGGAAGTAATAAAAAGGCAAAGAGAATGGGGTTCTCTAGAAAAAATAATGAATGCAGTAATGAGAGAAGGAAGCACTAAAGAGCCATAATAGATAAGGCTGTGCAAACACTTGAGGAATTCTGAGCATTATAAACACAAGAGCGGAACTAGAGTGGTTTGTGATGACATCAGAATGTCACAATGTTTACAATACCTTTGGTCATCATTATCCAGTGTTTTATTTTACCTATTTCATAGTCTTTGCAAAATATTCATAGTAAAGATGATTCAAATTGAAGTGGGTAGCAAGGCTGAGGGAATAAGACACTCTCACAGCCAGGTCTTTGCCCAGAACACCTCTTGAAACTGTGAGCTTGTTTTGAGGATTTGGGATATTCTAACAAATGACTCCTGGGGGAGCAGGGGACAAGTGTCAACATAGCCACTATCCTGTTATACCCAGTCACAAATCTTTGATGTTCCAATTAGCTGATAGACTTCATATTATCTGGTTTACTTTGGGGGTGATCTGAAGCTTGTTGTTAAAGATATTTTGGCTTCAGCTGTTAAAACCACTTTCACCATAAATATTAATAATTTTGCATTTCAGTAGTGTCTTCCAAGGCTCTCAAAAGACTTTACAAACATTAATATGTTTCATTACTGTGATGACTGGTATGTATGTTGCCTTCCTGCTCCATATTCCTATTTGTTTCCTCGTTTCAGCTCCCTGAACTCAGTGTTCTAGCTCCTGTTCTTCTGGTGGCATGTTGCGGGAGGATGGTAGATAGTATTTGGGGTGAAGTTACTCAGGGCCTGTGGCTACATATCTGCCATTGGGACTGTTATGTTTTGTTCAGACTGTTGATGACTCACCGATTTCTCTGGAGGTGGGTGACAGGGGAAGGAACATGTGAGGATTACCTGTTGTGATCCCTCTCTCTGTAATAGGAGGATCACCTGTTGTGATGCCTCCCTCTGCCATTGGCCACTGTTGGCACACAGGATACTGGGCTAGATGGACCTTTGATCTGACCCAGTATGGCTGTTCTTGTGTTCGTTTGTTCTTATGGTTATTACATGTTTTGATTATGTATCTACATCTTACATCGTATTCCTTGTGTTTTTCTGATTAAATTCAGGGATGCATCAGAGTGTAAAATTATGGCAATAAGCATTCCTATTCTTCAACTGTTAAGTGACAATACTTTATTCAGAATTTTCAGAACTGTGTGCAAAACCTCTATGATGCTGCTAAGGTTACTCTTGCAGCAGAACAGCTTAGGTTGTGATGGCATTGATATTTATTAGGGCTGTTTGATTAATCTCAGTTTTAATCATACCGTTAAACAATAGAATGCCAACTGAAATTTATTAAACATTTTGGGTGTTTTTGGCACTTTCAGATATATTGATTTCAGTTATAACACTGAATACAAATTGTATAGTGCTCAATTTATATTTTTATATGTATTACAATTTATTTGCACTCTAAAAATGACAAAATAATATTTTTCAAATCACCTCATGCAAGTACTGTAATGCAATCTCTATGATGAAAGAGCAAGTTATGAATGGAGAGTTTTGTGTTATTAGATAAGTGCGCTCAAAAGCAAAACAGTGTAAAACTTCAGAGCATACAAGTCCTGCTTCTTGTTCAGCCTATCACTAAGGGTACATCTACATTGCACCCTCAAATTGAAATAAGATACACAATTTGCACTATGCAAATTGTGTATCTTATTTCGATTTTATTTCTAAATAGGCTATTTAGAAATTTGGGGTATCTACACAGTGCCATATTTTGAAATAAAGTGCTATTTCAAGCCATCCCTTATCCCTCATGCAATGAGGTTTACAGGGATGGTGAAATAGCGTGTCTGTTATTTCGAAAATTATTTTGAAATAGCAGACGCATTCCTTGGCTGCGGGGTATCTATTTTGGGATACCACTGGTATCCCGAAATAACACTGCAGTGTAGACGTACCCTATGACAAACAAGTTTGTTTACCTTTACAAGCGATAATGCTGACCACTTATTTATAATGTCACCTGAAAATGAGAAAAGATGTTTGCATGGCACTTTAGTAGACATCATAGCAAGGTATTAACATACCAGATATGCTAAACATTCATATGTCCCTTCATACATTGGCCACTTTTCCAGAGAAATGCTTCCATGCTGATGACACTCATTAAAAATTCATTAATAAATTTGTGACTCAACTCCTTGAGGAGAATTGAATGTCTCCTTTGTTTTATCCATATTCTGCTGTGTATTTCATATTATAGCAGCTTTTGATGATGCTCCAGCACATGTTCATTTTAAAAACACTTTCACTGCAGATTTGACAAAACTCAAAGAAGGTACCAATGTGAGATTTCTAAAGATAGTTAAAGCACTCAGCCCAAGATTTAAAAATCTGATGTGCCTTCTAAAATCGGAGAGGGATGAGATGTGGAACATGCCTCCAGAAGTCTGAAAAGTGCAGCACTCCAGTGCAAAAACTACAGAAGCCAAACCACCAGAAAAGAAAATCAACCTTCTGCTGGTGGCAACTGACACAGTTTATGAAAACGAACATGTATCAATCTGTACTGCTTTGGATCATTGAGCAGAACTGTTATCAGCATGGATGCATGTCCTATGGAATAATGGTTGAAGCATGAAGGGGCTTATGAATCTTTAGCATATCTGGCACATACATATTTTGTGAGGACATCTACAACTGTACCATGTAAATTCCTGTTCTCGCTTTCAGGTGACTTTATAAACAAGAAGTGAGCAGCATTACCTCCTGTAAATGTAACCACAGGTGTTTGAGCAATTGGTTGAACAAGAAGTAGGACTGAGTACACTTGTAAACTCTAAAGCTTTACATTTTTTTTATTTTTGAATGCAGTTATTTTATACATAATTCTACATTTGTAAGTTCAACTTTCATGATATAGAGATTGCACTGCAGTACATAGGTGAATTGATAATTCACCTAATATATTAGGTGAATTGAGAAATACTATTTTTTATTTGTATCATGCAACTATTTGTAATCAACATAAATATAAAGTGAACATTGTATACTTTGTATTTTATGTTGTAATTTACATCAATATATTTGAAAATGGTATTCTATTGTTTAACAGTACAATTAATAGCAATTAATATTTTAAATTACACAATCATTATTAAGTTTTGTAATGACTTAAAATCGCTAATATTTGTGATGAACTCAAAGAGCCAAAATCTTCCTTTGATGTGTTGATCCAGCTCCTCAACAAATGTAGGGAGTGGACATTCTGTTCTGTTAAAGAGGAAAACATTTTTAAAGCTTGCCCATCAAAGCAGTGGGTGAATCTGCATGTCATTTGTGGTGGATTGTCCTTGCCTTTGAATTCAGGGATGTTCTGACGATCAAGTTCAGGGATATCTTTGTGATTGGGATAGCCTGAGCAAAAGGCTACTGGCTGAAGATGCTAAGTTTTGAAGCCACAGTTGCTTCATAGAATGAGGTCGTTGAGAGGATTCAGGCTGGAAGGTGTTCTGTGTCTCAGACAGCTGATAACTTTGGGTATGTCTACACTACCCCGCTAGTTCGAACTAGCGGGGTAGTGTAGACATACCCTTTGTGTCTACATTTAAACTCCCATTAGCTGCTTATCCAAGTTCCAAGTTGTACAATGCTACATACTGCTCCACTCTTTGGCCTCAGCAGAGAAAGTTGCCAGCTCCTCACTGTTTCTGCTCTGGCAGTACAGGTCACTTAGCCAATTTCTCTGCCTGTGTGGCTAGAATTGCTCTGTGACATGCTTGTGTGAAGGAAAGAAACTTTAAGCCAGTCTGTTACAGCGCACTGGTTCACAAAGATGGGAAACCTGATGTTTATATTGTAAATGTGGAGATGCACAAAAACCATCTTTCCCAGGGACCAGATGTTTCCTTTAGGACAATCTCCTCATGAGGCAAGGCACTAAAGCTGGAATCCCATAGTGTAATGGTCATCTTTGCTGAGACCCTTCCTGAGCATACTGCTATTTTGAACTAGGGCTAACCTGACTGTAGCAAGCAGTTTTTGACCTTCTAGAGAGCCATCTTTCAGACTGAGACACTTTCTGATGAGTGTCTTGCTCAGCGGGTAAATCAGTCTTTTTGAAGGAAGTAGAGAGATAGCAGGCCTGCAAAAACGTAGGACATTTTTTAGGATTCTTGGCAAACTTTAAAAAGGATTGAGGTAGGTGGGGAAGAAAATGTCTCATCACCTGCTCAGAAAATGATACCCTGAGTTGAACAGGATTAGCTGTTTGTTGAATTGCCTGTACCCCACAATAGTACCTTCAACTAAGAGGAAGCCAGAGCAAATTGGTTGTTGAAGTTTGTGGGAAGACTTTGAAGAGGAGGATCTCAGAGTGTGCATAAGTGTAGGATCAAACAGCTCAGGTAGTTCAGATAAGCAACACCCTTTTATTATGCTTAACAAGCTAAATCTAATTTCCAAATCTTTAAATATTATATATGCTTTGCACATACATGCTGTCTTGAATTTCTGTGGCTCATTGAAGTAATGGTGCAGTTCGCTTTCTGTGGACAAAGTAAGGCATTAATTTTCCATTCTCCCTTACTTCTCTATTCAGTAAAATTGCTCTTATCCCTGAAATGTTAAGTGATTGTCAGCATTAAAGCTGCTGCAAACATTCACTGTAGAGTAATTCATTAATATCCTGTTTGGCTAAATAGCATCCCTGCTACAGAACCTAGTCTGCTTTCCTTATTGCCACAACACTAAGCGCTGCTAAGAGCCAAACTAACGTAATGAAGCTTTTCCAGTTGCAGTACACAGCTAACAAATCACTCAGGACTTCACACCCCATTTTCCTGCAAACCCACCAACGTTCACTGTACTAATGTGATATTAACTAAAGTATTAGTTACAAATAGATTATCTGTGTTGAACTATTATTTGTTTTGGGATGTGGATATGGTATTGCCCAATATTTCAGGGCAGATTGTTGCTAAGCCAGTCTATGCACAGTATATCCAGTGACAGGCATAAAGCCACACAGAACAAGAAAGAACACCTGAACTTTGGGAAATTCAGAGCCAAATTTCCCAGCTCCAACTTGTCAACTGAATCTGAGCACCACAAGACTTAAGAGATTTGGATTCAAATTTGCACATCACTGGCCCATGTCTAGTCACACCCAAATACAGACTTTATCTCCCCCTCAATTTCCTCCCCCCAAAATTAACCCCATTTTCTTGGGGAGAAAATGATGACACTGGTACTTATATTTTAATTAAAGCAACTGTGTAGGGAGGCATCTAAGGGTGCATCTAGACCATGTTGCTCTTTCAGGATACCAGAAGTATCCCAAAATAGCAACAGCGTGTCTTTAAAAGCCCCCGCTATTTCCCAAAATAGCAGCCGTGCTATTCCAGTGTCCCTGTAACCCTTGTTCCGCAAGGGTTAAGGTTTTTGTTGGAATAGTGCCTTATTTTGAAATTTGGCTCTGTGTAGACAGTGACAAATTTCAAAATAAGCTCTTTCGATTTTGACTCTGAATAAAGCGCAAATTGCGTAGCTTATTCCGACAGATGGATGCTGTCTAGACGCACCCTAATAGTTACAACTGGGAGTCAGTATTCCTGAGTTCTAATTCCTGTCCCAGAAGTAAGTTTCTGTATGATTTTGAATAACAACTTAAACAGCTCTTTCTTTTAATCAGGCCTCTAAAATGGGTTTATAGGATGTTGGGTCTTAATTAATGTAATTATATAACAATGTAATTATACAATGTAATTATATAACATATAAAAATTATTTTATGATCATTCTGTGTGTAGAATTATAGAATACTACAATTGGAAGGGACCTCTAGAGGTCATCAAGTCCAGCCCCCTGCCCTCACAGCAGGACCAAGCACAATCTAGATCATTGCCGATAGATGTCTGTCTAACCTGCCCTTAAATATCTCCAGTGATGAAGATTCCACAAACTCCCTAGCCAATTTATTCCAGTATGTAACCACAAGTACTGGAAATCTAAACCCTTAAAACATACTTACAAGAGTAATATCTGTAAGTTTTTCCTAATGTCCAACCTAAACATCCCTTGCTGCAGTTTAGACCCATTGCTTCTTGTCCTATCATAAGAAGCCAAGGAGAACAAATTTCTCCCTCCTCCTTATAACACCCTCTTAGATACTTGTAAACTTCTATCATGTCCCCTCTCAGTCTTCTCTTTTCTAAACTAAACAATCCCAGTTGCAAAAGCTTGATAAAAATAGATATGACAAGCTTCATGCCAATGCTTCTGATTGGTTTAAAATCATGGATCTGTTTTTAAGGCTGGTGATAAGAACAACTTTTCCCTTCCTTCCAAAGGTAAACAATATTTCAGTCTTCCCCCCCTCCCCCACTTAGCCTAGAAGGTCTAGAAACATCTGTTACATGTTACCAAAGCATCATGGAACAAGTGTGTAAGCTAAGCAAAATCTCCTTTCCTAGACCCCTGCTCAAACAACTATTTCAGCTTGTCTCAAGATTGCACTGGGAAAATACCAGGAGTGAAATCCAGTTAAGTCAATGGCAAACCTCCCATTGACTTCAAGGGGCTAAAATTTCTCCTCAGAGGTTCATTTCATACCTTAAGTCTTTCCTCGTTTGGAAGTGGAAATCAAACTTGAGAATTTTGGCAACAGCAATTAAATATGTAACACGGAAATTCTTGTAATGTCTTGGGAGTCTGATCCAAAGCCCTTCAAAGTCAATTAGGGTATGTCTACACTACAGCACTATTTCAAAATAACTCGCGGTATTCTGAAATAACTTAGTCTGCGTCTACACAGCAGACAGTTATTTCGAAATAATGTCAAAATACTATCAAACTAGAGGACTTCTTACTCTGACTCCTATAAACCTCATTGTACGAGGAATAAGAGAAGTCAGAGGAAGAGTGCTTCATTTCTAAATAAGTGCTGCGTGGACGCTCCCTATTTCTAAATAAGCTATTTTGAAATAAGGTACGCAATTGACTTAGCTCAATTTGCGTAGCTTATTTTGAGTTAAACCCTGCAATGTAGACATACCCTTAGAGATTTTGTATGGAGTTCAATGGGTGTGAATCAGGTGTGTCACTCAAGAAAACACTGAAGCAATTTGACGAAGGAAAGCATTTTACCCCTCACATTGCAAAGGATATCACAGAATACAAACAAATTTTAATTTGACAAAACTCATTAAAACTGAATGGAAGAACACTGATAAACAGCACATCAGTGACCATTGATAAAGAAGTAACTAGGCTGTTGGCTTAGCACAGAAACAAAATTTTGCATGTAGACTATAAATAAGTACAAGCAAGGTGGTACAATTCCAAAAACAATACAAAAATCCAACCCTCTCAAGGCTGCAGCCACAGTTATTTGCGTAGCCTTAAAGTCAAGTTCTGGATAGCCTAGCCCAAAGATGGCTGTGTACCCTCCACAATTGTGTTAGAACTAGGGACTGTCTAACACTGGGGTTCCTTGGGTTATTCAGAGAGAGTATTCACAAGGTGAATCAAACAGTTTATTTTGGAGCACGGGGGAGAGGAGAGATCCCAAAACCCATCAGACTGATCTGTCACCTCAGGCCTATAATGATTAGGTCCCCAAGGCATTCTGTTTTTCTGTCTTGCCGGCAGCTAATCTTACAGTTTCCTGTCTTCTTGCTAGGGATCTTATAGGCATGAAATTGTCAGACCTGCTTTACAACTTGTCACTAAGCACATGTGCATGTGACAGGACAAGTCATATTAGAGTTAACTCCCAGTTTGCAAGTTCTCAGGTAGTACCCTAACTGTTTGCCATAAGGTATTTAAAAAGCATTCTTCTGCACACTTTGAAAGTGTTAAAATTAGCATGATAATGTATTGACCTCTAGCACCATAAAGATTTTTACATTCACTCATTTTTCATATTATTTTTCTTCTTTTTTAAGGGAAAGACGATACTGAGCAAAAGAATACAGAAAACAGTGCATCACATACATCGTAAGTCAGTTTTATGTTTGTGATCAGAGATGATTGCTATGTTTTTATCTGCTTTATCATGCCAAATGGTGTGTTTGTTTTCATTAAGATGAAGCTCTTTTGCTGATGCTATTCTTTAAAAGGCTTTTAAGTAATGATATATAGTTAATTGCTCATAAATCATTAGCATCCTTTAATGTGAAAGATCTTGAAAAGTGAGATGGCTCTGTATCGAGCTGATATCAACAATATTAAATTGTTTTTGGTGGAGTGAGTGAATGAGGTTGGCTTTTACAACTGGAGAGGTCCAACATTATCTTAAAGCTGCAGAAGTTTTTCACATTTTCCAGAAAATATCATGTCACCTATGCCTTTGATGTACTGATGTAATTTTAAAAGTCTGCAGTCTGCAACTTCACCTCTGAATTACTTGAAATCCAATTATAGCTACCTCTGGTCTCTCTCAATTTTGTTGATGTTTTTGAATTAACAAAAGCAGTTGAGAAACATATGAGAGCAGGCATTTGCAATATATCAGTGTTCACCTTTACTTTAATGTAACAGTAAAAGTTTTCCCAGCTTTTTTTTTTTTTAAGTCTACAAGGAAATTAACTGATTTACTGTTACCAGAATAAACCAACTCTTCAGAGGGACACAAAAAACAAAATACAGGCTAGGTCAGCAAACTTGATTTCTCTCACATGAGTTAGGAGAGGTTTGAATTTCTACAAAATCACTCACCCTTTCAATCCCGTTTGAGTGGGAGAGGAATTCTTTTCAAAGTGCAGTCATATGAATTTCAGAGAGTGTCTCATCTGCAATTTGTGTCCTCTAGCTCCTGTTATTTAAATTCAGAGTGTTAGATCATGTAAGTCTTTCAAAGTGTCATTATTTGTTGCACGGCCGAAAGTAGCCACAGAAAGTACAATGTGCGATTATTGAATGTTTTGATTTCTGATATAAATATATATTTAAAATATCCTGAAAATGAATCTAAAAACACGTTTGACATATTGTATGAATGACTTGTGCTGTAGATGTTTCTGTAGAATGTAATTACAATATGTTATATTTAGTCAAACGTGTTTAATAAACAAAGCACTAGTTCCATTATGTCTTCTGATAATATGACTGTTGGGAATGGTTAATGTTGTAGGTTGGTATAGAATGCTTCCAATAGTTGCCATTAAAAAAAATGATATTACAATGAAGACTTAAAGGAGAAGAGTTTTAATGCCATCTGGAGGTATCATGGAGAAATGAACACTTATTTTTGCTAATATTTAATATGTAAAACATAAGCAGACATAATCTTGGGGTTGGGTCATATTTTAGTGGGGATATATACAAGGTTTACTTATTCTTTTTAGTAAAATTTCTTGAAAATTCTGTAAATTGTATTATGTGAATGCAGAACTTCCTACAAGTGTTTGTGGCAGACTAGTTAAAGTGTCATTAGCAGACTGTAGTACAGGCAGTCCCCAGGTTACGTACAAGATAGGGACTGTAGGTTTGTTCTTAAGTTGAATCTGTATGTAAGTCGGAACTGGCATCCAGATTCAGCCGCTGAATCTATACACCAGTTCTGACTTACATACAGATTCAACTTAAGAACAAACCTACAGTCCCTATCTTGTACGTAACCTGGGGACTGCCTGTACTACAGTCTGCTAATGACACTTTAACTAGTCTGCCACAAACACTTGTAGGAAGTTCTGCATTCACATAATACAATTTACAGAATTTTCAAGAAATTTTACTAAAAAGAATAAGTAAACCTTGTATATATCCCCACTAAAATATGACCCAACCCCAAGATTATGTCTGCTTATGTTTTACATATTAAATATTAGCAAAAATAAGTGTTCATTTCTCCATGATACCTCCAGATGGCATTAAAACTCTTCTCCTTTAAGTCTTCATTGTAATATCATTTTTTTTAATGGCAACTATTGGAAGCATTCTATACCAACCTACAACATTAACCATTCCCAACAGTCATATTATCAGAAGACATAATGGAACTAGTGCTTTGTTTATTAAACACGTTTGACTAAATATAACATATTGTAATTACATTCTACAGAAACATCTACAGCACAAGTCATTCATACAATATGTCAAACGTGTTTTTAGATTCATTTTCAGGATATTTTAAATATATATTTATATCAGAAATCAAAACATTCAATAATCGCACATTGTACTTTCTGTGGCTACTTTCGGCCGTGCAACAAAGCTTTTCTCGCCCTGGAGGAGGCGGGCGGTGGGACCAGGCGTCCCGCCGCTCGAGTCCTCCGGGGCGAGAAAATCCCCGTTCGTAACTGCGGATCCGACATAAGTCAGATCCGCGTAACTCGGGGACTACCTGTAAATAAATTGCACTAGAATGTGACCTTATTCATATTAAATAGTATCTTACCCAATGGGTGGTTGTCTTGTTGAACCCCATTGAAACTGTATACTCCTCTACTTCATAGATTCAGAGATTCCAAGGCCAAAAGGAACCACTGTGATCATCAAGTCTAATGTTCACTATAACACAGGCCAGAGAACTTCCCCAAAATAATTCCTAGATGTATCTTTTAGAAAAGCATCCAATTTTGATTTACAATTGTCAGTGATGGAGAATCCACTACAGCCCATGGTAAATTGTTCCAATGGTTACTTATGCTCACTGTTAGAATTTTACACCTTATTTCCAGCATGAATCTGTCTAGCTTCAAATTCCAGCTATTAGATCATTGAATACCTTTTCTGCTAGATAAATGAGCCCATGTAGGTATCTGTAGACTGTAAACAGCTAACCCCTTAATCTTCTCTTTGTGCATCTAAATAGATTGAACTCCTTGAGTCTTATCACTATAAGGCATGCTTTCAGATGTAGTACAGATTGAACCTCCCTGGTCCAGCCCCCTTGGGACATGACTGGTCCTAAATGAGGGAGTTTACCGGACCAGGTGAGGTCAATTCCATCCCTTTCTTGATGGATCTCAGGCTCTTCCAGGGTTCATTAGCAGACCTAGTGGAACTCTGTCCCCCAGCCGCTGGCTCCCAGCTTTGCTGCCCAGTCCCTGCCGCTGCAGCTCTGCTGCCCTGGGACCATCAGGCTCTGCTCACCCTAGGGCTGCCATAGCTCCAGTGCCCAGGGACTGCTGTGACTCCACTGTCCCTGGGTTGCTGTGGCTCTCATGCACTGACACTGCCACAGCTCCAGGATGTCAGGGCTGCTGGACTCCATTATTCCAGGGTTGACGCAGCTTCCCAGCTCCAGCGCTGCCAGGGCTCCACTCCTTGAGGCCGCCACAGCTTCTGCAGCTTTGCTACCCTGGGCCGTCGGAGCTGCTGCTGCGGATCTGCTGCTCTGTAGCCACTGGGGCTCCACTGCTCCGGCCAGCCCCATGGCCACCCAGCCTCCCGGATTTCCCTATGCTGACTTACCTGATTTGCATCCCTTTTCCGGAATTTGGGGCCAGTCTAGACGTAGCCTAATTGACTTATTCTCCCCCTACAGATCACTGTAGCTTGTAGCTGAACTATATCTCCTGGACCGGTTTTCCAACTGGCAAAGAAATCTTGAAAAAATGCCAGACCAGAGTGTGAGCCTTCACATTAGAACCCAGAACCTGCAAAGACAGAAGCAAGGATGAGGAAACCATTGTGATTAGTTTGAATGAGTGTTTAGCTGGTGAGGTGGAAGGAGCATGAATCTTTGCTGGGCAGAACTGTAAGGGACCCTTGAGCTTAAGAACATTAAGAACTACTTTTCGGGGGAAGGTTATCATTCCTGGGGAAGGTTTCAGAGCAGTCCAGTAGGAGTCATTAGCCTGCTCATCTCAGTAGAGAACAAGTGGCATTTCTGAGACTGAGGGAAGAAGCATAAAGAGCTTTAAAGGTTTCTCATCTTTAAAAAAAATCCATAAAACAATTCACATTGGCCTTGATAAAAGTGAGAGAGAAAAAATGGGAGGAACAACTTAATTGTTTTTTCCCTTAACTAAAGTCTTTTTTTGGCTTGTTACAAGCCACAGGTACAAATCTAATGCACATGGTTACAATGGCAGTTTATTCATCCTTTTCCTACATTTACTGCCTCCCTATAATATAATGGAGATTGCCTCTCTCCTAGAGCTGAAAGGGACTTTGAAAGATCATTGAGTCCAGCCCCCTGCTTTCACAGCAGGACCAAGGACCATCCCTGACAAATTTTTGCCCCAAATGGCCTCCACAAGGATTGAACTCACAACCCTAGGTTTAGCAGGCCAATGCTCAAACCACTGAGCTATCCCTCCCCTCAACATTATTCACACAGCTTGGAAAGGACAGGTTTATCACCCCTCTGAATCAGGCAGAAATATTGAATTGAACATTTACATGAAGTCTTTCTCAGAGATTACCACTCATTGAGCCAGTATTCTCCAGGACAGCAAAAACAATCACATAACTTGTCTGGATTTCTCCTGAGTCACTTGACCAAAGGAAGTATCTGCAACCTTTCAAAGCAGAGAAGACTGAAGTATATTTTTAGTAAACATACAGCCAATGTTAAGCAAGTTTTATTTCTGCCTGTATTATCTCTCTATGTTTCTGCAGGAATTATCTCTAGTAATAATATTTACCACTTAAAAGAGCTTTATAACATTAGCTTACTGACTGGATCTTTGAAGACCTCAGGAAGTAGATGAATAAGCATACTTATCCTAGTGTTACAGATAAACTGGGGCAAATATCAGTGTGTGACTTACCCAAGACTATACAGGAAGCCAGTGAAAGGTGATATTCTGCATACGGACATGCCAGGATGACTGTAAGAAATGGCCTAAAGATTGCATTGACATGAGCAGTCAGTAAGGAGGATTTAAGCACACCAGAATTTTCTCCACATAGATTCATGTTACTTGTGACTAGGAAGACCCATATTTAAATATAGATTTTAAATCAAAAGCACTCTGGATCGGAGGAGCTTCATTTTACATTATCTTATTACATAGAGAAGTTCATGGATGACCTGATCAAAGCTT